TACAACCACCTACGGGAATGCATGTCATACAAAGCCTGATTATCAAACCAAACCATCACAAGGAACGGCTGAAATTCCACATGCATTTCAAACCATACGTGACATGTGCAAAAGTTGAATAGATGGAACCATTAATTTTCTGTAGCAATGAAAAACATGTCATGACATGGAACGCATAACAGGACAGTTCCCAAACTTCTTCAGTTCCAAGTAAGGGCATGTTTATTTGATGAAACCTTTGCTCAAAATAATCTTATGGCCGATTGTGGAATGAGAAAACAATACATACCCTACCAGAAGATTTGCAATTTCTATGCCAGTTGATGCATGAATTCTACCATATAGGTATTGTACACATATTCAAAACATCACATACAAAATGCTCTAAGCAAAACTGCATACAATTATCCGCTAGAAACAGAACCTAAATGCTAAATGATGTCACAAGTTTATCCCAACAGAGAATTTGACCCCACCACAATGACAAATTATCTCCTAGCCCATCCTGCCTGATTAAGAATTTAAAAAACCAACAGCCAAACTCCAATTATTGCAAGTAAAAATATTTCGCATGCAGCTGTGCAGATCATTACTGGAATAGTTAGTGTTGAGAATTATTCTACCAACCAACTATCACCAGCCAACAGGGAGGTGGGGCCCAACTCCAACTCATAGACTCGCTGGAATCAACAATGCTCCACTCTCCCAGTGGCAAACGTAGTAAATCCAAAGCAGAAGACAAGGACATGATAGTAAATTGGAAAAAAAAAATAAACCAGGGATCATTACCAAGAAAAGATGAAGAAGAAAACAGCACAAGTAGTAGACCGTCCACCCATCATCCCTTTCCCAAAACACAAGCACTTAGTAACGCCGTTAAGCACCGTTTGACTAATTAACAGCAACCCAAACGCCGATAACCCGTAGACGGTCGAAGCATCCGTACCGTACACGCAGTAGGTCGTTTCATCGTACTTATCCGGCATAACATTAGCCTTATCGACCATTAAAAGCCAGGAAAAAAAAATTAGAACTTTAACTGAGTTTCCATAAAACAAAGAGAACCCAGATGCTATTTTTGGAAATGGGGTAAAGGGGTTACCGTGCTTCGACGCCGTTCAGCTCCGATAGCGAGAACGAAGGCTATGAGGTGAAGAGATGTTATAATTACCAAAATGGGGATGGAAACTCCCATTTTTTTCAGCTGTTATCTCCTACTAATTTCTCACGAACAAGAAGCAACGCACAGTCCTCAATAACTGGAACTTCTTTTCTTTTTTTGCTTTCTTTAGAAGTGTAATGTATGTATAATTGCACAAACTTCTTTTTTTTTTTGGGGTGAAGGGAATTGTTTGTGGGGCTACAGGTTTTGCGTTTTGGAATACGGAAACTTTTCTTTTTAGGTGGGATGCCTTTTTTTTCCCTTGTTTCGGCTCGGTGGGTGGGCGTTATAGTATATGGTTTGCTTTTTGGATGGATTCGTGAAAAAAATAACCAATGCAGCCTGCTGGCTTGAGGAAACTGAAATAATAAGGCTTGATGACGATAATTTATCAGGAATTTAGGAGAGAGGAAAGGTGTCGGTGAGGGGAACTCATGGGGCCCAGTTGTTTTTCATTTTTTTTTTTTTGGTGAGGTTTTGCTGGTTTCTGGCAGTATTAAGTAAAGTGTACTTTGTTTAAGTGGAAGGTGAATGTATGTGGAAATGGTTTGGCAATGCATGATTGGACCATGACATAGTTGATCTGTACTCGAAGACGACGACAGCTGCAGCAGTACTGATACTTTGACTTTAATGACTTTGATTGAATTTAGTTTCTGAGAGCCACCTATGGCATTAACATTTATTGTGTTTAGTTTGGCTACCGCGGTACCCATGCTAGCATGCTACTGTCCAGTTGTTCCCTTGTTTTCTTCCCTTGTTTAGTCCAAGTATTTTCGATGTTGCTATCGATGCACACAATTATGTACAGTAAAAGATGTATTCGAGGTTCGATTTAAAATTAGAAAGAAAAATTTGCTAAATAGCTACTTAGTTTAGACGATTGAATGGAGCCAGTTTAACCTTGAAGCCTTGATCTGTTCGTGGAGGATATCTTTCAATACTATTGTAAATCTCAGGGATATGGGTATCTTTGCTCTCTCGTAATGAACTTCTTCTTGGAGAACATATTAATTAAGATGAAAGCACAATTTGTTTGTTTTCCTTTTGTTTTTCATATCATTGTTGGCTAAGCCACTAAATGCCTAATCTTCTACATTCTTGCAACAGCACCACACTCTTATTTTATGTAAACGGACTTTTCAATCTGTAATGCTTTTTTATCCGGGGATTCACCCCGTGTAAATAAACATCATTGGCTGCTTTTGAAGGAAAGGAACTCAAAAGCATCATCCCTAGCTCAAAGTACAAAAAAAAAATTGAAAAGTAAGGACGAGAAATAAAAGGTAAAACAATATGCATGGCAAATTAGAACCAATCATGCAAATGAACCATGAAATGCAAAGGGATCATGCTAAGTATTTAACTAGCCATAGCCTGTAGATGTATTTCTACCTTCACAGAGTCAATTAACAAGAAGTTCATACATGTTATTATCACAGACCAAATCATATTTGAAAACTGAAATTTGATGAAAGCACATTTCACCATCTAAGCACTAATAGATCAGATCCTTGATGATTGATCAAGTTTTCTAATGCATCATGCCCTTCTTCTCTCCGAAGTACTCCTCCCATGCCAAAGCCTTTGGATGCCTCAAGTGTGATTTATATGATAGTTAGAGATGTTGAATTCGGCCGGCATAAACAAACTCTGACGCTCCCATCTGGTCCGATCGCTTCTGTACAAGTTGGGATAATCTGTGATGCTCCAAAAACATTTGGTACATCTCAATCTAACGTTATACGACCAAAAGAATCCATTCACTCTGTCATTGATGTACAAATAACACCATCTCATTGGGAAAGCGATTTGTGTGAAATTGTATATGAATCTTTCTCCTTTCCTCAGTTCATGCAAACCCGTATCGTTTTTTGACAACTTGCACATGTAATACACCGTCTTGTCACCATCATTGGCTATTGTAATCTCTATTGTTGGGAAAAAGAAATCACGGATTGATTCAAATATGGTCTTTCTGCGCCCTCCTTCATCGGGTTCTTGATCGTCTGAGGCATTGGCATTGAAGGAGAGGAGGAGGATGATGGCAACAATGGCAAATGCTGAATTATTCGCCATTGAAAAGCCAATGGGAGGGAGATGGTGCCCAGGAAGGCAGATGGGAATGTAATTAGTGGCGAATAAGATTGTAGTTTGATTTGCTTTGTGTGGCACAAATTATTTTGTGCTTGGATTCTCCTTGACTTGCTCATGCCTAAAGATAGCAAAGTCAAGGAAACTTGAAATACATTGGACTTTGATCTTAGTCCACTTTTTATTCTACCACTACTATAATAGGGAGGGACTTGTTGGTCCCTCTTGACGTTCAATTCTCCCTTTATCTAATAGAAAAGTCGATTACATATTGAAATGGTTTTCCAACCAACAAAAGGAAATTATTATTATGATTTACAATAATATAAGTATAATAAAAAAGGAGTTAACAGAAGTAATTAAAAATATTATGAAAGAGACAAAGGAGTTGGTTTAATACCAAAAAGGGGTAAAGGAAATAAAAAAGGTAAATCTAGTTTAAGTTTTATATGCTTCTTGCTTTCCTTTCTTTTTTCTTTGTGTCTTCATGAAATGAATAGACGTCAAGAAGCTTCCTGGTTCCCACGAATGGAACATACTTATATTCTTGAGTTTTTTTTTTCAAAAAGGAATTTACTCTTATCTTAGAATGAGCATAAAAATGATGCAAAGTGTTAATAGGTTTGTAACTACATCTATGTATAATTGTTATACATAACAAAAAAAAACATTATTAACATGCTTTTCTTTTTCAAAATAAAATTAATCAGAAGTTGGAAAATCTACTTCTTTAGTTTTTCAATAAAATTGGTACAAAAATCACAAACAAACCCTTGTACATAGATATAAAAAAAAATCAATTTCTAAAGGGCCGTTTAGCAACGTCTAGGTTTTGTGTGTCTCTTATTTTGTTTGAAGAATTACGCAAAAATAATATATATATATATGTATGAATAAATCTTATATACTATCACCGTTAGATCCATGACACATGTACAAAAATTGAATTTAAAATTTAAAATTTGCATAATTATCATTCATCCAACGCTGACAGTGTATACACTGTTAATGTCGGAAAGAATAATCCACATGTGTGTGTATTGTTTGCATATTTCAACAAACAGCAACATTTCAAATATTAGCCTTATCTTTAAAACACCAAAAATGTTATTTTTAACTATTTTTAAAAAATGTTATTGTTTTTAAAATCAATGTTGTAAATTGTTTCATTTCCTACATATACTACTATAAGAGTCGTTGTGGCTTCAACACCAAGGCCCATCATTCGTCTACCTATTCGGCTATTTCTGTGATTTGGAGATCATTAAGGTGTATGTTCTAAGCACTTTGCACACCTTTTGATGCTTTGGTAATGTGTTGATTTCTGTTTTTGCCCTTAACTGTTAGTTGTTCGGAAATCTTTCGCCCCATTTAGTTGTTCAATGATTGCTTTAGTTTGTTTGTGAATTGCATTTGTGAATCAGTTCGGTCCATTTGTAAAACCTTGGGCCGTACTTAGCTGTTTGGTGATTGCATCAGTGTTGTTAAACTTGGATGAGACCCTCCTAATCGAATGTAAAACGACTTTCTTTTCGAGTTGGTTAATAGTACAAAATTAATTTGGTAAAAAATCAATCAAAATCATCAAAATTCGACAAAACAATGACCTAGTTCGAGTACTTGACTCAATTTTCAAACTTTTCTTCCTTGTTTTCCCAAAATATAATTTAAGTTACCTAAATTATAAAATTTTCATTTATTAATAGGAATCAGAAAATACCACTAGGTATTTCATTTTCCAAAATGATATCTAAATCAAGAAGTTTTAATCCCTATTTTGTAGTTTAAAGTCTGCATGGTTGTCTACGTATTCATTTTTTTGCCAACCAATGCATTCCATATGCAGTGCTAAAAGTGGTTCTCAAAACTGTTTTTATACAAGTATCTTACAGTATTTGCTTCATGGAACTCAAATTTCGGTCCAAACCGTGGTGCGAACTACAGTCTCCGGCAAATGCCTAAATTGCAACTTCTGGAACATTTGGAAGGCAAGAACCTGGAAAAATGTAAACTTCAGAATACCTAAATATTCCTGAATCCGCAATATAATAAGTACAGCATAAAAAAGATACCTTTTCCTACCAGAAACCTGCCAGACCAACTCTTAACTAGTCTCATAGCCATAGCTACAGATAAGATGAAATGGCAAGAAAAGTTTGTTAGATATAATACTCAACAAAAGGAAGATGGATGGCAGATCATGTGTTGCAATCACATTAACAAATGCTCAAAATACTTGCTTTAAGGCAAAAAAAAAAATCATTTGTTGGATTTAGACAGGTGAGGTTGAAAGAGGGTCACGACAATGAAACAAGACAGTTCAATGATCAGTGAGAGATTCAAATTATAAGAATCCTGGAAAATAATAGATTACCGGTTAAATGCAGCACTTGCTTAAACAGGTAACAGGTGTCTTTTCCAACGCTTGGCATTGTAAATTTTCAAACTGCATGAATCTGGGTTCTTGATTCTTCATCTTAATTAACTGTCCCACAGAACTCCTGATTCTCAATCACATAAAGGCTCCTTAACCAAAAGGTTCATTTTTTCCAGAAGAAATTCAAGTACATCTTCTCTCCCTTCCTTCAGAAGCAGATTTCTTAACTTGCCAAAAGTCACTCTTCCTGGACGAATTCCATTCTCTATCATCTCTTCCATTAAGACACAAGCCCTAGAGGCATCCGCCTTGTCACATAATCCATTGATAAGGGCTGATATGGTATGCAGGCTAGGAACGAACCTTTTCTTTTTCATGTACTTCCATACCTTGAAAGCCCTCTCAAGCTCATCCCTATCGCAGAACATCTTTATCATCACTGTATAAGTGTCTGCATCTGGCTCACAAATTTTAATCATCCGACGAAAAACTTTAAGAGTTTCATCAGTCTCCCCACAGCCAATCAAACTGTTTAAGATGATGTTGCAAGTTCTTGAATTGGGAGTCACCTTTTTGCCCTCCATCTCATCCAAAACCCTGTAAGCATTCTGAAACTTGTTAACTTTGCAGAAAGCACTAATTAAGGCGTTATAGACAGCTACATCAGCCTCCACTCCACTACTTTCCATTTCAAGGAAGGTATCTACAGCATCTTCAATCCGATTGTCTATACCATATGTATGAACCAAAACACTGTATATAAATGATGTTGGCCTGCAACCACTGAATTCCATCTCCTTAACTATTTCAACCGCTTCATCAACCCTACCTGCTTTGCACAGGATATCAACCATAATCCCATAAGTCACAATGTCAGGATCACAGCCTGCCTCCACCATTTCTCTGTAAATTTCCCTTGCCTTGGGCAGATTGGGAGCTCTTCCCCATCCCTCAAGCAATATGCTATAAGTCTTTGAGTCAGGAACAAATTGACCTTTCATGTTATCAAAAATTTCCTGAGCCTTTCTCACATTTTTTGATTTGCATAAAGCGCTCAATAAGCCATTGAATGCTGCTAGATTTGGAGGCACATCATATTTTTTCATGATATTAAAGGTGTACACCGCCTCCTCCACCTTCTTTGCCCTAGCATACTTCCTCATAATGATACAAAATGTCTCAATATTAAGCATTTTCTTACTTCTCATTGCATTCACAAGATCCCACATCAACTGATACTGCCTTATCTTAGCTAAAGCCTCAATCATGGTGTGGTATGCTTTAACACTATGCTCATAATTACGCTGCTTGCCTGCCCAGTCAAAGAAACGGTAAGCCAGCACTCCAGCATTTTCAAATCTCTTGAGTACTTCCTCAGCAATTTCAGGGGAAACCCTTATCCCATTCTGGTCAAGCTCAGTATCAAGCCCAAGTTTCGGGCAAGACATCATAATCTTACATACCCTTTTTACCATATCTGAACTATCCTGCAAGGATTCTCTTGAACTGTACATTCTACACAAGATCACTCTTCGGAGACATAATTTACCAAGAAATTGCCTTAGCCTCATATTCCACCAGAGCAACTTAAGGGTTCCAAAACGCCTATCTGACTGAAAGATAAAAAAACAAAAACATCAGTTAGTCACACAGCTTATGCTCATATGCAGCAATTGCTTTATTTTCTTTTTCTTTATTAACATTTACAATCCTTTTTCTGTCTACTTAAGTGGGTCTGTGCAATTTCAGGCCATTAAACATTCTATGCTTGACCCAGCGGAAGGTGTCCTCATTCCAATCAAGTTGAGTCTTAAGGACACAAAAAAATTGAAAAATTTTGATAAAAAACAAAAGAAAAAGCTTTGAGAAATGGTTAACGACTGGTACATCCCAAGAACAGCTAGTTTGCTGGACAAAATAATCAAAATGGAAACTTTGAACAACAACGAATACCCAGTATGAGTTAAGCATTTCATCGAATGAGTGGTGCATAACTGACTTTGGGCAGTTCTTTTTCACTAGGCTTCTACCTGTTTACAAAGATACAGGTATCGCAACTCACATAAACACAGAACTGGATATCATATTCCTGTAATTTGATAGTGCTTCAATCAATTGAAAACAAAACATTGAATACCGTTTTTAAAATGAAAGCAATTCTTAAGCATAAAACAATTCATATTGACATAACTTTTTCTTGCAAGGTGCCGGGGTCACCAACCTAGGAGAGCCTTAGTTAAGTAACAAACTCGAAAGTACAACGTTTGCGTAACAAGAATTACGCTCTTTTTTTTTTGTGCGAATTGCACTCCTTTTTTCGAGTCAATTTTGTGGAAGAAATGATACTCTCAGCAAAGATTCAAGTCTGTAACAAACAAGGCCTAATACCGGATGGCGTTATCAACCTTTTGCACTTTTCTTTCTTTCATTTTTCTTTTTTACTCGCCTTTGTTTTGGACTAATCTTCCCAACAATATAAACTTTTTGGGTTTGGCCAACAGATACCAATGCAGGGTTACATTAATTTTGATTGTGTATTAAGTTAGGTGTGTTTTAAGTGTGTTAATAATTGATCATCAGACATTAATACATATTGTAAACCTTTATTCAAATTCTATTTTTGTCATTTTTGTAAAGGATAATTTCACAAACATCTCGGCTCCCTTCAAGTTTTATAAATTACATTGACCTTCCTTGTCACAATAAAATGGCTATAAATTACATTGACCTTTACTTAATAAATAATTCACAGTATAATGAAATGAGATTAAAAAAAGAAAAAGAAACATGACTTTTTGGCCTATCCTGTTTACAAGTTGCAGCTAATGACGATTCTCTCTTATTTACTGTCACTCCATTCTCATCCATCAACCTTTTTCTCCTATAACTCGCTCTCAAATTACCACCAACCATTGCCTATAACTAAGCCAATCACACCACAAGTAATCCCTCAAACTCGACTATATATTCTTATTTCTCCTTTCTTCACTTTGGAATTGCCAAATTACAAGTTTAATTGAGGGACTAGATTTGATCGTTGAAATAAAATCCGATATCATGGTCAAATTAATAGGAGATGACGAGGCACAAAATAATAATAAAATAAATAATACAATCATTGGCCAGAAGAGGAAGAGGGATTGAAATTGGTAAATTTATTTATTTGTCTATCATCCATTCAAAAAACTTTTTAAGATGTTAATAAGTACATTTATATTTCTTTTTATACTTGACAATTGTTGGTTATGGTTTCGTTATGGAAATAGAGTTTCTTCTTTGTATTTAAAATATTAATATGTTTGGAGATTTGATGGTAGGCTAGATTATTTTGTTTTGAAAAGGTGTGAGTATTGGGTTTGAAATTAGGGTGTGATTAATTGTAATAGAATTTTGATTTTTGGCAAAATGAATTTCTTGAAGATGTCTATAGTCATAATGATGCCTTCCGCTTCTTAAACTTGATTAAACCCATCCATGCCTAAAACTCATGTAGCAGGAGTTGAGCCACTTATATGAAATCAAACCATGGCATTCTATGTTGAAGATTATGCAAACATAGGAACAGCTGATTGTGAGTTTGACCATTCCATAAAACCATATGGTAAGAATATTTCTAAAGGATGGAACAAATCTTTAGAATTGAATGCATGTTTTGGGAAGCAAATTTATGACTATGATGATGGAATTGCTTGGGTTTAGAATTTGGAATTAGACTATTTGTTAGGCTAGTTTGTTAGTATAGTGTCTTCTCATCAAGTCTAGACAAGCTGGCCTGCTCGTGAATGCAGTCTACAAATATTAAAAAGAGGCATAAACATGAGTGATTATCAGTATAGCAACCAAGGAATGCACATTCCAAGTCAAAGCTATTACCTTGAGGCATAAGCAACCAGTTTAGTGCTTGGTAGCATAGTCAAAGAGAGCGTCCATGTCATCAAAATATTTGACTGTGAAGCGTAGAAAGGCATAGAGGCATAGCTCAAATTTCCATTTGTTTCGCAAGACAAGCATCTAATTCTCACGAATCAGATTGTTAATACAAATATGAACGTCACCCTTCTTGAAAACATTTATCCTTGATGTTTATTTCCCAACTGCAAATGCCATGATATAATTTAATTGTCATGTCATCCTGGGATTCAATTGAATCAAAAACAGTAGCTGAAATGTCCTATAAGAAAAAAAGAAAACATGACCTATGTCACTAAGAAATAAAGCTTTTGCCACTAAGTTTCAGGACTGCATGTTTAAAAATACGCATGGATTAAGGGCCATGGAAGACAGTAGACTGAAGGTGTATGAAAAAGGAGTTCATTAGGTGAGTTAAGGGTGATTCGGGGTGTTCAGGTAGTTAAAAAATTTTAGCCATGGGATTCATGATAACGGTGTTTATCTCAAGCTTGACAATGGTGGAAAGAGGAGGAGATCAAGTATAGGGCATTCAACTCCTAAAAACACACTTCTAATGAGAGATGAAACAAATATGCTGCTCATGAGTCCCTTGAAGGATAGGAAGCCTCATTCAACGAGGCTTCATCAATTGTATACTGAGACAGGAAAAATTATTACTCATGATGGAAACAGATTAAGATTGCTCCCGAAGAGCTATGGTGCTGATATTAGAAAATCCCATCAAATAGCCCAAAGCACAAGATAAGAACTTCAAAACTGGAAAAACAACTCAACCACTTGAGGCACAAGAGAAAAGCCAAAAGAAATTCAAAACTGGAAAACAACTTAACCAATGCAGGCAGGAAAACACCCCAAAAGAACCACCACACGAGACGAGAGAAAAACCATTTGTAAAAGGCAAAAAAAAAAAAGGAATCCTTGGCAAGAAGAAAAACAAATCATAAAAGAAGGAAAAAAGACAAGAACTTTTTACTGAGTAAAAAAGAAGAATTTTAGGGGCAGTTGTATAATTCAGCAGAAACTGCAAAGCAAGGCTAGCTTGTCAATCACAAATTAATCAGTGAAATAGATAAAAACAAAGAAAAGGAAAAATAACAATTTATCAAGAATTGTAGCTGAGCACCACAGGCATCAAAATGAAACTCGTCACACAAGTCTTTACTCAAAGGAGCATCCTGCAGCTAAACAAATAACAGAAATGACATAAGAAGATTCAGGAGAAGAATCACCAGACAAACCAAAAATCAGGACATTAGAAAAACAATTGAATCACTGCAACTTATTAGTCTAATTAAGTGTTGTCTTGAGATCTCAATGTTTATATGTCCGGAATGAGTAGAAGTATAAAATATCCAAAAATCTTTACTTGACACGAGAGCAAGAGATCATCATCAAGTATTTCCAAATGATTGCCTATGGTGGCCAATCTTCATGAGTCCAGAACAGAAAATGAGAAAACCTCCATAAAATGTACATCAAAAAGGCTAATGAGGGATTTAAACAGATTAAATTATCTTTTTTTGACAAATATATAAATATAGCCTACCAAACAGTGACAGGGAACACTATGGCCTCATAATGTGCTAAGGTTGTAAAAAAAACCTACTTAAAAACTGACAACCTATGTCACATTTTCTCCACCAAATAACAGAAAGATATTTAGAGAATCATGAAAAATTTTCAACACTTAAGACAATTAGAAGTAAGTCCTAGACCGTAAACTGGCACCTCAGCACAAAACAAAGACACAACTCAAAAGAATGTACAATCATCAAACAAACTACTCAACTAAAACAAGCCTAATTTGATCTTGAAACAGCTTGCCAAAAAAAAAAGACGGAGGACCCGGAGGGGGGAGGGGAGAGGGGATGAGAAGGCATACTATTTCCAATTGGGAGAGAGCTTCTTGCTTACTTGATGGTACAGAAGAATCTCATGTGCAAGTTCTGCCGGCTCAAAAAAATCCCTATGTTATTATAAAAGCTTTAACAATAAGAATAGAAATGCAACAATGAAGATGATGTTGGTTTTTTTTTTCCAACAAGTGACAATTTTAAACTATGCCATACCTCAAGTCACACAAAATAGTACACCATTCTGAGATGTTGTTGTTCCTCTCTTTGCCAACTTGCAGATGTAATCTTCAATCTATCCAATGTACACCTAACAAAAAGAAAAAAGAAAAACAAAGCAGTATGAAACACATATCTGTACATCTAGAAAAGTAGTTAAATAATGGCAGCTACCCCTCTTTCTTTCCCCGTCATTTGCCAAATTTGTAAAACTTTAGTCTAATGTATTGCAATGAGTACATTTGATTATATCCATTAGGAACACAATGATGCTTTGGATATTTGCTAAACTGATACAGGTCTCTGTAAATTGACATGTGAACTAACAACAAAAAACGAAATGTTCCAGGTACAAATGCTATTTGTTACTTTTAAAGTCAACTTCCAAGGATAAAATGGAAAATATGTTGCTGCTTGTTAACATTAAGATGATTTCATTGATTTCTCAAACATCCCATGATTAGATTCCATTTCATTTATAGAAAAAAAAATAAACGAACAAAAGAATGCAAGAGGTGCAGTTGTCAAAAATGATTGCTGTACACTTACATTTGCCATTATAGTAAGCAAGTTTTAGCCTACCTTGCTTATAGAATACTATCCTTACATTTCATTCATCTAGGATAACAAAAAATACTAATAACCTATAAGACTTGGAGCATGCTGTGTCCTTAAGGGAGGAAAAAGGAAAATCACCTTCACCTAACATCAGGGCTAGTAATTTACCACCTAATGGAAAGAAAACGTGTGAAAAAGATCTTGATCAAAAATATTGTACAATATAGGGATGCCCTCAGAACAATCAACTCTAGCAGCTGAAACCACATGCATGCGTTTGTACAAAGCCATACAGTGCTATAAATTGTAAATCTAATAGATTTTTTTAAGTAACCTATTCTGTTCTATACACACCAACTACATCAATTATCAATTGCCACTGCTGAGCGCTGAGAGTATTGACAGAAGCATATTTAAGTATGGTGCATGACACAACATGCAATTGATCTCATGAATCAGTACAGGTCACCTTAAAAACAAGCAAGAGGATTATAACAGAGAATTTCTAAGCATCGACATTCAAACTCCGTTTACACCAGATGCTTCATTCTCTGAGAATTTATCCACAGGATCTAACACCTAATGAGAGAGACAGCGAGTGGGTCAGTCATACAAAGAAAGTAGCAACTATTTGTTAGCCTGTGAGATATCAATTGATGTGATTCATAATACTACTCACAAAGTCCACGTTAATTCAACTTTAGTTGATTTGAAGAGATGAATAAAATTGAAAGGTAACTAACATCTTGCTTCTTCTTCTCTAACGACATCTCATATTGGCACCATTGACTAACCATTCACAAAGAAACCTGATAATACAACCATGCTTGTACTACCGCCTAACTCAATTGGAGTGATAATAATCAGAAGAATCTCATCATTAAGTATTCTGCAACAAGATAAAATGTAAAAAGCTGATATGGATACTCCTCAATCCGTCGCCTACCCAGATCATGCAAATGTCCCACCAAATTCCACTGCAGAAAGTTCCTCATTTCCACATATAATCATCAATTGTTCACATTCATAAATAATTCACACAACATAGCACCAGCTTATTTGATTTGAAATATCACACCGTTTTGTAATGTAGAGACCATGAGTAACCTCACATAAAAAAAAAAAAACAAAAATAAGAACCACAGACTGTAACATAGTAAGACCTAAAACCAGTATCAAGGTAAGTTAAAATTTCACCTCCCTATTCCTTGTCTAATCAAACATCAGCAGTAAACCTCCATTTTCTCAAGACATTAAAGAAATCTCCAAGTTCCCCCAAGGAAAATAGCAACTAAAACATACAAGCGTTGATGCACCCCTACACTACAAAAGAAAGCAATAGAGTGTAGAGCTTTTAACCCACAAAACAAAAGAGTGAGTGATATCTTTACCACTTCCAGGAATTGTTTGTTGAAACTGCAACAGCTGACTTCATCGTTTTGTGCTTGCCTTAGGTCCCATCCCCAAATAGTTTGTCACCAAGCCCATGATGCCAAACCTAGGTAAATTGGCAAATGCAGGGATAGGTATGCCAGCAGGGTTAGGTTACAATAAAGAACACACACTATAAACAATAACCTAAATAAAACTCAAAACAAAATTGAGACTCTATCACACAACAATACTATCTTGACTGATCAAATTTGCAAATTTAAACAACAGCACTCTCTGGCAAATGTTAATTACTGCAAAACCTGAGATACGTTATCAGTTATTAGCAACGCTACATCCTTTAACAACATTGCAAGGAGTATGAGAATCATCCTAAAATCACTTAGTATCCTTAATCAAGATATCAATGTAGATGCTGGGGATGCTAGGGACACTGATACCGAGTCTGAATTTCTAGCTACCTTTACCAAGATATTCATCACTTCCGGTTTTCATTCTATAATTCAGCATTTTAGTCATTTCGTAGTCCATCATGGGGAGACTAATAAACTTCATGGAGAACCGAAAGACGATATCAACAAATTTCACAATCCTGGCATCATTCATCTCTTATAGAAATAAAAATGACGAAGCTTTTGCTTTCCACCAAAAGGCATAAACTGATTGTTACCTAAACCATGAAAATCTGCAACCTTTAAGTCAGCCTGTGTCTAGTCACAAAACTTAATTATTTACACCTCAAAAGGAACTTATAAGAATTAGGAGTAAAACTAAGCTGCGCTGTCACACTTGCACCAAGACATTCCACAACCTCCAAGTAACTACTTACACAAACCCCAACAAACACATAAAATACCAAAGCAAAACATTCGCATGCAACAAGAAATAAGCAACTAAAACCATAAGCTGAAAACTATGTAGACCATATAACTCACTCTGACATAACAATTCACGCAGAAAACAGATTCCTCACATCAGTATCCCAGTTAGTAATTTCCCAACGCAAGAGCAAAATCCAGATGCTCCCCGTGAAATCTAAGATATTTAACACTTACTCCACTTCAGTTGCAACTTAAGCAACGAAACATATTTAAGTATCTTACAAATTCCCAGATTTATGTCTAACCCAAGAGTAGTTTCAAATTAGGGCACCAATAGCGATTAAACGCATTAATCTAAGCAAATAAAACATAGATACTTCAGAGCAGGAATGAGCCATTAATGATAATAATGAGAGGGAAAAGAGAAAGAGAGATGGAAATGCTTACATCATGGCCATGGATATCTGTTTGAAATCATGTTTTTCTTTTTGTGGGAAATGGAGAAGAATTGCCCAAAAAATTTCTAAAATTTAAGCGAGAATCAAGGAAACTTTAGCTTTGCGGTTGATCGGAGAAGGAGAGAAGAGGGGATTGACAACTTCTTTTTAGAGGAGAGGGTATAAGTGGGCTGGAGTTGCGGTGTGGAGGGATATGAGAGAATTTTTTGTTGGAATTCTGCCTAGCTGCGGCTGCGGTTTAGAGTTGAAAGGAAACAAAGGAAAAAGGAGGAAGAAATGGAGAGTGGGGAGAAGAAAGAAAGAAACACGTGTCCAACTCCTTAAATCTGATGGCCTTTAAAAATCACGAGCAACTCACGAGGGCCGACGAAAACCAAAAAGTACTTCAGAGTTAAAGAGCTCTTCGGCTCTTATTCTGTATGTGTTGAAAATCTGCGACACCATGCTCTAGGGTCTATATATTTCTCAACAGTCCTTCACGCAGAAGCCATTGCGTCTAATCCCATCCGTCTGTCACCTCTTCCGTTCAAGTGGTTCAACCCTCCCCATGCAGGGTCTGCAGCTTCAATATCTTCCTGTTGCTCCATCTCCTCCTCCTCTTGCTTTGAGGAGGAAGGCATCCAATTACCGTACTTGGATTAAATCCACCACCCTGCCGATGCCTCGTACTTGGATTAAATCCACCTCCCGCCGTTCTCTGTATGTCATTCGTGGTCGTGGTGCTCTAACTATCCCCAATTCAGGAAGCTCTTGTCCACCTAGTGACTCAGGGAACTCCTCACCGTCTGGTACGTCTAAATTTGCTAGTGTAAACTGCTTCAACATAATAACTAGCATTATATCCTGTGCTAGGGAATTACAAATAGTTAGAATAATTCAAAATTTTTTGAGCAAAACAAAAAAATAATAATAATTTTGGAATAAAGTATTTAGCAATTTGCAATTTAATTTTTGTATTTTGTACAACTCTTTGTAGTGTGGTAATATGTAGAAAAAGAATTTGATAGCGTTTTATTTGTTTTTTAAATTTTAAAGTGGTAATGAATGTGGTAGACAATAGAAACTATAGTGGATTTTGTAGAATTCTTCGTGATTTGAAAAGATAAATTACATGGTATGGACTAAATTTTAGAAGAAATTAAAAATAATTGTGGACTCTATAAAACTAGCAAGGAAAGCTTCTATAAGCTTTGAATAGGTGAATAGTATATAGTGTAGATATAGATATGTAAATATTAATTTATTTTTGTAGAATTGGAAGCAATCACTTTGAAAAGAAATTAAATTTCATGAAAAAATAAGATATACAAAATATATTTGCAATAGTGAAACTGATTGTTTTTGTATAATTTAAAAGCATGATGTCCTTGTTTAATCACTTTATAATAAGATAATTAGTACAACTCCTTATTTATATAAAAGGGTTGAGGAAAAAAAATTTATCACGTTTACATTTATAAGACTATGCATTGATGTTTACAAGTTTATTATGTTATTTGTTTAAATTTAGAATATCTTATATAGAAAAACATTTTTCAAATGACAACATATGCCATTTGTCATTTGCAACTGAGGATAAAAACATTTTTATCTAGGAAAATTTATTGATAAGTTTTTTTTCATTAAATTGATAAGTTAGCTTAACAAAATATTTTTCTCCCTGGAATATAGGGATAAACATTTGAACCAAACAAACTAATAACCGATATATAACATTAATTGAATTAATTAAAGAATAAAATAATTCAAAATCCTTTAAAAAATGACGCATGTCATATTATGATTGGAACCCTTCTGGAGATGTAGACTGGTAAATAGTATATAGTATCGATATTAATAATAACAATCATATTTTTTTTTTAAATACGGTTTATGTACATGTCACCCTTTTGAAGGTGAAACCGAGCTGGATCGGACAACTAAGGCTTTGCTTGGATTGCTATTTTCCGTAGAAAAATTTCGTCATTTTCCGTGAACACATTTCCCCATTACCTTTTTTCCTCACATACATCAAATCGCTACAGTAATTTTTCCATGAAAAATGACGGAAAATGCAATCCAAACGGGACCTAAGATTTACGAATTTGTATTGCCAAAATTGGAGGATTTTGTAACACACATGGTAAGTATCTTGCCTTTATTCTCATTTGTATTTTTATGGCCTTTTTATGGTTATGTAATTTATTTTCTATGCTGTCAAAATTAAAGTACTCTAACTAGCATTCTAATGCTTTAATAACATGAGACAAAGTTGTAAAAAATTACAAGCAATTTTGCTTTTTTGCAAAAATTATTTTAGAATTTGAGTAAAAAAAAGTTTGATTCGGTGTTGAAATAAGAAAATATAGTAAAAGTTCACAAATATAAATCCCTTCAAATTTAGATGGTAAGAAAAATAATGAATTAGAATAAGAAAAAAATTCTTACAAAAAAGGAATAGTTGTTTAAGAAATTAATACTTGAAGATTGAAAATATAATAAAATATTTCTAAAAAATAATAGTAAAACTTGCCTCGGAGTAAAGGATTTGGGAGATCATAGAAACAAAAGTCCGGTACAATAATATTTCAGATTGTGTTTATACAATGACTATTTGATTTTTTCTTTTATTGATGTATTTACCTTAGTAGGGCAAGAGGCTGGTATGCCTTAGGAAAGATTTAAAGAGGAATGTCAAAGAAGATGATTAATCAATTGATAAATCACATTTAGAGGGACAAGATTAGTGAAATTTTGTTAAAAATTTATAGAAATAATTGTTCAAGTCATTAATACCTAAAGATTGAAAACATAATAAAAAAATCTCTAAAAAAATAATAATAAGACTTGCCTCGGAGTAATGGATTTTGGAGGTCATAGAAACAAAGCTCTCTAAAACAATGGTAGTTTGTCTTGTTACTGATGTAATACCTTAGTCAATAGAGCAAGAGGTTGGTATAACTTAGTAAAGTTATATAAAGACGAGTGTTAAAGGTAGTGGTTAATTAATTGATACTAACATCTATCTATAGGGACAAAATGAGTGAAATTTTGTTAAGTTATTATAAATAGATATACTTAAAACTGGCTTTGAAAAAGTTTTGGGGGGCTCCTGCCCTCTCTGCCCTCCCTAGCTTGCGTACACCTACCTACTATGACCTTAGATTCCTAAGGCTTTTTGGGAATCGGATTGTACATTTGGTCTTCATTATGGAAGGTAGGGTTATGGGTAAGACATGTTGGGCTTGGACCTTTGTATATCACTTATATCATCTCTTTGGATTTCAGGTTACGACTTGTTTCATACTTTTAGCAGTTTGGTTCTATTTGCAAATGGGGCTGCCCCTTCCATTTGTCACTGTAGGAATAGTGAAGCTTACTTATATACTCCACTATATTCCAACAATGGCGGTATGTATATTTTTATTTTAATTATTGTGATTAGCAGGCTATCATATTTAATAATGATTAACCTTTTTTAACAGTGATTTTGTCTGGTCTTTTTTGGCTTGCAGGGAATTGTGACCTATGTACTGGTTAATTGTGCTTATGTTAAGCACCTGAAGAATAAGAAAGGGTAAGGAATAAAGAAGAGGGGAAGCTTACCAACCAGTTTCGTCTTTGTCGTTTATCCGGAAAAAGACGTATCAGAGTGACAGCTCTTCTTTATCCCTAGTCGATTAGGTCTTTCAACATGTTGCCCTTTGTGGTACTGGAATACTAGATTCATCTACTTCTTCATCTATTATCCTTACCAACTTTCTTCAGTGACGGATGTTATGCAGGACAGTGGAGTTTTGAACGCATATCTATCATTTTGCATGATATTTGATAGGAAGATGCTTTTCGCTTCCTACAAACAAAGTTTACTTTAAATTTTGGTCCATGGGCAAACTTTAGATTACGGTTCACGGTAACTTTAATCCGAGCAAAGATCCTCCATATCAACCATTTTCAAGAGATCTTGTGATTAATTTGTGTACCACCTCGCACGATATGACAGGGCATCAAAAAAATTCATTTACCAAGTTAAGGCGATGGTGGAAAGGGAAACATATCCACACATTTGAGAGGGCATATGTGCTCGTACCCATACATGAAAAGTAGGTTGTGCATCACTTTCTATTTAGTGGTGTCATTTCTTGAGTCGGTTGTTGCACATAAGTGGCTGTGTGCAGTGATCTTACATTGTGGTCTCTGCACTTTGATTTTCATCTCTTGATTAAGAATTTCTGACCTTCTAATATTAATGTATTTTGAGGTCCGGCATGCATTTATTTATTTCTTTTTGCTGCGTCTTCTGCTGGGAAGAAGGTAAATCTTTATCTCAACAAACAAACAGTTTTTCAGCTGTAATTAATTAGGTGAATGCTGCTTACAACAGTGAAATCACCTTGTTTGACTCGTACTTGCTGGTCATGGTTGATGGCACTATGAAGTCGAGACTGGGACATTTGTTTTCGTACATGTCAAAAAGAAAGCAGAAACTATTGAAGGATGGTTTATCATTGTTATATGCAGTGGTCATTACGGTGAAATGTAGAAATTGGAGACTTCTTATGCAAAGCAAGCATCTCTTAAGAGGCAATAGGCAATTCAAGTCCCTTTTTACAACAAAATGCTGGCTGAGGTAATCAGCATAGTTGCCTCATGTTGCATTGAGAGTGCAACCATCAAATTACGCATCCAAAATTGTGATGATTATCAGGTTTAAGTACATGAAAAATGAGTCAAAATCACAGCAAGAAAATGTAGGAACCTCAGCTGGGGAACTCCAAGTTCGATATATAGCTTTCCACGCTCGTATATATTAAGCCAGTGAAAAAGACAACACAATTAACAATTTTCAATTTTCTTTACCGCAAAATTATTACACCAGCAACGCTAAAATTGATTATTAATCTGGCAAACAAATCTACTGATACTGTAGCATCTCAATGGCCTAAATCTGGAAGAAATAATCAAGTCGCTCCAAGGTAGAGCACCTTATGCCATATCTCATATCCTTGTCAAGTTGTAACCGGTGAACGCCAGGGCCCTGTCAAATGATTTTGACTTGCAAACTCTCGACAACAAATTGACAAGTTAGAACAGCATTTCATAGAAATAGTACAAACTAGGAACTTCATCATAATACAAATGCTCGAGCTAGAAAGAGCTGGATTTGGAAAATTTTCGACACCATTGCATGGAAATTTGTAATAAGATACAGGCCTGAAACATTTACCTCCGCATGCAAGATAGTCAACGAACAAAGAACCATAGCTAGGCAAGGAAAAGGAAAGGGAGGGACCAACATGATATTATTGGCATGCCCGGAATTGGAAAGGATCTTAGTCCAAAGCCTCTGAAACCCTTGGCTCAAAAATAGAACAAATGGAGAAAAAAAAAAAAGAGAGAAAGTCCATGACCTCAGCTGAACAGGTCAGATCCATTCAAGGACAAGGAAAAGAAATGGAGGAACCACATGAAACCATGGGCATGCCTGGCCTCGGTAAGGATTCTCTCCATCCAATCTTCAAGATTAAAAAATTTAAGATCGAAAATTAAAAATAAAAATAAAAACCATAAAAAACCAACGCAAAAGCAAAAGATATAAACAAAGAAAGATAAAAAGGTTCCTTTCCAAGCCAGGCGATGCCCACAATTTCCTGCAGATCTAGCTCCGTTTCCACCTTACCCGTTTGTTGCTGAGCTCCAATATCACCCTCTGTACCATAAGTTCAGGTAAAAAAAAGGCTAAAAAATAACGAATTTACACCAAGTTTAATGAGCCGCTCCTTTTTCTTCCTTCTTTTTTTTTCCCCTCACTAGAAGAGAAAGTTAGCCTAAAGAAACTAGCAGCTGCAAGAGCCAAGAGGGGAGGACGGGCAGGGAAAAAAACCCTAAGAGAGAAGCACTGAATCGGGTCTAGCGACTTTCTGTTTCATCGTTCCACACCTTTTATAAACTTTTCCCCTCCAGAAGTCCAAAGACTGAGGACACGCTAAGGGGACCCTGCCGAACAACCCTAGCCCAGCCCAGCCCACCTTGCTTTCGCAAGTCACTCGGCCCAAAGAAGAAGTCATCGAATAGCGTGGGACACGCATGGCCTAAGCAAAGTCTACAATAACGAAGAGTTGGGTGCAACTGGTAAAATCACCCTTTTCTAGTGCAATTTGATAGATTATAATTATTATTATTATTATTTTGGTGGAGTGCAATATGACAGATTTACATGTAATACTCGAATACTTAGATTGTAAAGTATGAATGATTAAATTCAAATTGGACAAATTTGAAAGTCTAAAGTGTACGTGTTCAAAATTCAAAATTAAGGTGTTAAATGTTCAAAATAAACAAAGCGTTTTCGACATGGTATGGTGCTTTCTACCACGGTAGTATTACTTATTAGACTGATACATTTGACTTAAGTATTCAACACATTTTCCGTTTAATTCGTACACCATTATAGCTGCTGACCAGGTTGAAGTGGTCGGCAAAAGTAAGCATAAAGAAATCATAAATTGGCAAAAATTAAATTGAAGAAAGATTAAATTTACAAGTAACTCAATAAAGAGGTATCTGAAGACATATATCACGTCCTTCAAAAAAAAAAAAGAGACATGTATCACATGACAAAAGGGTTATGAATGGAGAGGTAAGGTTGTGTAGGGAGAAACTTCCACCATCATCATCTTCGAAGAAGACGGCCTCCCCATCGGACTAAGAATTAAGAAACTCAAGGCTAGAGGGGTTGGCTGCAAAATGTATCCAATAAATTGAAGTGAATATTGCTGGGAGGATTATTTAGCCACAAGAGAAAGAGGTGATTAAGGAGTGGCTGAGAAAAGACAATGAGGAGTTATATCTTTGTATTTGCCCATATTAAAAACTATTTTTAATTGTGTCATTATATAGTCTAATCAATATAAGTGTTTTGAGTTTAAGCATGTACACATTAGTATGAAGACCACTAGTACTACTAGTGATAAAGAGCACACTGAATTTGTGTGCAATTTGGAAATTTTATTTTTTATATAGAGAAATTGGCAAAATTTTAATAAACCAAAAAAAATGAACTTTGATATTTTAAAAGTTTTTTTCCAATGAATTTGGTAGTTTATAAAATGTTTGTGGGTAGTTATGGGTGAAAGTTAGTTGTGATTATATTAGTTGGCAATATGTAGGCAAATTTATTTTGGTCAAAGCATTAATGATTAGTTTAGCATACATGCTGAGTATTATGGACAGAAACTGCATTTTTTTTCAAAATTTTGGACCTATGTTATGTATCGATTTAAATTAGAACTTTTATTTTTATTTTTCCCATATTAGTTGATTAACGATTATTTAGTTTTACTATTCTTGTGATGTCATTTTCTAGTAAAATGGAGATGGTTTTGTCACTTGATCAGAAATTTTTATTTCTTTCTGCCTAAGAAAAGTTCAAGGTCAGAGTAGGATTGCAAACGATCCGAGTCGTGAGTCGAACTCGAGCTGGCTTGAGTCCAACTCGAGCTCGAACTCGCACTCAAAATATTAAGCTCGTTAGCTCGCGAGCTCGAATATATATATATATTTTTTATTTTAATAGTAAAATTATATATATATCCTTAATATTTTATTATTTATTAACAAAAAAATATTATTTTATTTATTTTTAAAAAAATAAAATAATTATTTTTTATTTTTTCGAGCTCGAACTCGAGTTTTAAATTGTCAGTTCGTCGAGTTCGAGTTCGAATTCGAATTCAATAAAACTAAGTCAAGACTCGGTTCGATTAGACCAAAATTCGATTCGACTCGGCTCGACTCGTTTACAGCCCTAGTCAGAAGTGATAACCGTAATATGTCTCTTATGTTACTTGAAAGAAAACTATTCTTTCATTAGTAAATTCAAGCATGTCACCTTGTATTATATTATATCCATGAAAATACATGCAATACTTTTTATTTGAAGAATGTTTGTTATCCTACTTTTAAAATAGACAATGAAGAGTTATATTTTGGTATTTGATCCAATTAAAAAAAATTATTTTTTACTGTGTTACTATATAGTCTAATCAATATGAGCATTTGAGTTCAATCATGTATACATTAGTGCTAATACCATTTAATACTACTAGTGATAAGGGTACGCTAAATTTGTGTGCAATTTTGAAAAATCACTTTTTATATAGAAGAAATTGTTATAAAATTTTAATAAACAAAAAAACTTTTTATCTTTTATTTTCGTAATATAAAATTACAAGCAATAAGCAAAATCAAACCACTCCATGAAAGGATACAGAATTCATGAATACTTATATATGTATTGTTTGTGTGTATAACAAATAAATGAGAGCCCAGAAAGTCTAGGAGAAATTAAAAATAAAAAAATAAATATCTAGCAAGAAATATTTAGAAAAACCAAAATGATTTCAAAGCACTGATATTATCAAAAAAAAATGGACAGCATATCAAAGCATTAATGTTAACTAATAGAGAAAATAGAACAAGGCAGCCAAAATTGGAATCTCAGAGACTAAAAATTTAAAAAAAGTTTCAAAATTTCAAAACAAAATAAATTACCGACATAAGATAAATACAATGAACATCTGACTCCTAATTTTAACCGAAGAAGAAAAAGGTAAAAACGTTTAGTAATGCAAAAGAAATACCTTCGAAAAAACTATTTGCAAGGTTCAATATCCTGTAGAAACAAAATCAAGCACCTGAAACAAGAAGTGCTACAGAAGCATGAGTTTATAAAGAAATGCCATGAAACGGAAATTAGAATCACTTTCCACAAAAATAATCACGAATAA